TACCTCCTCAATCCAAGAACAAATGCACTTATTTTAAGTAAAAATTACTTATCTAGATTTCTGCACATAAAATAAAACCAAACAGCCTCTAACCGGCAGTTTCTTATTCATTAATCATATTGATCAAATGAGGCACAACACTTTTCTTTGACTGAACCCCTCTGCAAAAAAGGCGCCTCATCCAAGCAACGAGAGCATCTGAGTCTTCCATAAGACCTAAAAAGTGAAAGCAGATCATTTAGAGTTTTGGAGGCACCAGGGAGGCGCTGCTCCAGAAAAAACCTGTCTACTTTTTCTTCCCATCGTATTCCCTGCTGCACGGCTCAGATGATGACTGACAAACTGTCCCTAAATGCAGAGCCAGGCTGCTCTGCATAATGCATAAATACATGCAGACACAAGGCCAAAACAATTATAGCTGTGAAAAATGCAGCAAGCTGAACAAGAGTGCTGTAATATGTCTGAATTTAAAACTTTAATCTAGAGCCCTGATTTCATTTCCTCCAACAAAAATCAAGACATACAGCAGCTCTAAAACATCTGCACACCATTTAAAAAAGCCTGACGTATAAAAGTGTGCTTTTTAAATAAGACTGGAAAACCAACAGCATGAAGATGTAAACTGGTGGTTCAGTTTTAGCATTCAGTCATATCGGTTTTGCCTCTGTGTGTGGCATTCTTCATGTTTATACAAAAAAACAAAACAAACATCTGATATACGTAGGTATAGGTATATAGGTATGTCAGGGATGAAAAGTGTGAGAAAATAAGATATGGTCCACTTAGACTGGACTGGGATATCTGAGCCACTGCACATCACTGAAACTGGGTGGAGGCAGTGTCATCGTCTGGGGATACTTTTCCAGAAAAAAAACTGGAGTTTTGTTTATGTTTGTTACAATTATATTTGGTTTAGATCCCAAATCTGTCAGAAAGATGAAGCCTTACAGTGAGTCCAAACATACTAGAGGAAAAACGATACAGCAGATATCATTGGTCGAGTTTTTTCTTGTTCTGAAATTAGCCTATACACGCATGTGTATGGAGTTAATTTTGTTACATTATTGTTAAGGTCATAAAACTTGTTTCATAAATGGAAATTTAAAAGAAAATGCAAACCATATGTGAGAAGTTTAAAAACTTCTTTATCAAAAAGGTTTTGAGAGTAACTTTGCTCTATTCTCAGAACCTATTTTATTTTTTCTAAAATCTCAGTGGTTTTATATTTCACATTTTATTTTTTTTATCTTTAAGGTTACAGTTTATGAATTACATTATTTTCTAATTTCATTTCACAGGTCACATTCTCTTCCTTATGGGGCGGGCTTTCCTCTGGAGTGAAGAGCAAAGATGCATTCCTATTGGTCTGCATAAAAGTTAGAAACATTCTCATTGGTCAAGAGTGAGCGTTTGCTCTAAGTGAACAGAATGTGATCTGTATATGCAATTCATGTAACTCATTTGGAAAAAAATATAATCTGTAAAAAAAAAACCTACATTTGAAAATATACCATTTGAAAAAATAAAATTTAGAAAAGCAAAGCTATTCTAAATTCCTTTTAGTTTAAAACTTTTCAAAGTTTCAGTTCTGGATTCCTTTTTTTGTTTGTTTTAAATTTCTATTTCCAAAAACTTTTTTTTTTTTTTCGGCTTGCAATAATAGTGGAAAAAAAATCCTACCTTACATGGATTCACTAATACAATAGTGAAGGGCAATCGTTGCTGTTCCCTCCATTTGCTATCCATTATTAACATTTTGTTTGAATTGTTGAAACGTTTTTTTGTTGTTGTTTAAATTAAGACTTTGTAACATTTAATATCACTGTATAATTTTTATTATGTCCACATGGGAGGAAAAAAAACCCCTAAAACATGCTTTTAAATAATTGACAAAACTGTTTGATCAAAATAAA